TTCAGAACCCAAAGGTGTGCCAGTTCAGAAAAAGTCAGAGATGGCAGACTTCAGGCAGGAGGAGGCTGTGTGTCCCTGGGAGAGTCAAGATGGCAGGGGACGGTCCCTACAGCCAGCCCCAGATGCTTCTGACAGCAGCAGTTCTGAGGCAGCAGGCAGTGTGGAGACCAGCGTGGTGGAAGTGTGTCCGTGGGAAGTGGAAGAGGCTCCCTCCGCCAAGGAAGCAGAGATCTGCCCTTGGGAGGCAGGTGGAGGAGCAGCAGAGGAAGGGGGACTGGAACAGGAGGTGGAACGAGAATCACAAGGGCAAGGAGAGATCTTCGTTCAGAAGGCAGGTCCTGGAGGGACTGAAGAACACTTCTCAAAAGCAGCAGCAAAGCCCAGAGAACAGGAGGCAGTCTGCCCTGGGGAAGGCACAGGCTCAGGGGGGCTCTTGCTCCAGTCAGGTGTTCTGAACCCCGACCAACTCAAAGTCAGCCCCCAGGGAGCAGGCAGCCTGGGGAGCAGGATGGCAGAGCTGTGCCAATGGGAAATCACAGATCCAGAAGGAAATAAAATAAAGGGTACCATGGCAGACATCTGTCCTGGGGAGGAAACTGGAGTCCCAACTGAGGAATCTGGCCTCCTGGCTTTAACAGCAACTCAAACAGAATTTTTCCCCACAGCTCCTGAAAAACCACTATGCCTTTTAGTCCATGGGCCTCTGGACCACTTCCTTCCAGAAAGCAAAATCCTTTGCCCCAAGGTAAGCAGGCCAGCCAGTACTTCCACTCTAGAAGGTGTCAGAGAACTACAAGGATCTTCAGGGCTTGAGTCAAGGACCAGCTTAGCCCCAGAGCCAAGTCTCCAGGAAGCCGAGGCTCAGTCTTCCTCCTTAACTGAAGACCCAGGCCAAATGGTTTTGGAAGCTCAGTGTGAAGAATTCACCCCTCCAACGGTCTATCCTTGGGACTGGGAGTAACAGCCTTCTTAGGTGAGGTCAAACACAGAGCTAGCTTTCAGGAGCCAAGGCCCTTCCCAAGCCCAAGGGTTCCCAAAGAGCTGAACCAAAGACAGCTTGGTCACTTCCCCTCCTTGAGACCAGAAGTCAGCTCATCCCAAAGACGAACTGTATGAAAAGGATACAGTTTGGACGCCAATGGGAAGGCCCACCCGGTCTTTATTTCTAAGTTTTCTTCCTGTTGGAGGAAACAAAGACTGGACACTGCTTCTAAGGACTCCTCCCATTCATCTACGGTACTCACAACACAAACCACCCAAGTCTGGACACTTACCGCAAAGCCAGTGTCAGGGATGAAAGGAAGTCAGCTGTGGCCAGCCTACCTTCTCTCATGGGGAGACCCTGAATTCTCTGAAGTCTACGATGGAGCTTTTTTTTTTTTTTTTTTGAGACGGAGTTTCGCTCTTGTTACCCAGGCTGGAGTGCAATGGCACGATCTCGGCTCACTGCAACCTCCGCCTCCCGGGTTCAGGCAATTCTCCTGCCTCAGCCTCCTGAGTAGCTGGGATTACAGGCACGCACCACCACGCCCAGCTAATTTTTTGTATTTTTGGTAGAGACGGGGTTTCACCGTGTTGACCAGGATGGTCTCGATCTCTTGACCTCGTGATCCACCCGCCTCGGCCTCCCAAAGTGCTGGGATTACAGGTGTGAGCCACCGCGCCCGGCGATGGAGCATTTTTTTTAAGAAGAAACTAAACAATACAAGGCGTTGACAGCATAGGGACAGTGGACCACAGAAGGCTATAGAGTCCACCATAGGAAGCTGAGGAGCCATTTAATTGAAGATAAATTGGAGGAAAAGCTAAAATGACTCAAAATAGGTGCCCGAAATGCCTTACGGACCTTGTCATTTTGACTTTGAATCTCCTGTTTCTGCTTTATTGCTTCTCATACCTGCCCTGCTTGACTGCTGAAGCAGAAACAATCAGGCACACTAACATCCATTTCAGCACCTGGCATCCAAAGCCGCTTCAGAGACAGAGAACACAGAAGAAAGCAATTTCCCCAGGTCCTCCCCACAGTCAAAGGAGCTCTTCCTTCCAGACATCCTTGTGTGCCTCCTGCTAGTTTTTTAGGGGGTCTCCCCCTCTTCCTGCTCCAGCTGTCACCAGTCTCCAGAGCTCACCTCACTGGCTCATTTGCCTCCCCCTAGCTTTTCAGCACTGCCATCAACAGGACCCCTCTCTTTTGTCAATGCAACTGGAGTCAAGGGGAATCTCTGATTCTGATGCAAGAATCCCCCTCCCACCCAAATCACTTGCTCAGTAGCAAGAGGACACATCAATCTCCTTTCAGAGGAGCTTGAGAAAGGCAGTCCTGTATACAGCCAGAACTCCACTTCTGCCCTCTGAAAGAGGAGTGCAGTGGGGCAAGTTAGAAGCCTGAGGGCCGGGGAAAGGGCACTGTGTGAAGACAAAGCCTTCTTTCTTAGGGAGCTCTCTCTTGGCTCAGCTTCCTTCTCTCAACAGTTCAGCTACCCTTGCTTAAGCAGTACTAGATTACAAAGTGCTGGGATTAGATGATAATACCAGAGGGAAATGAGGAAGGAGAAAACATACAAAGAAGTCCCAAGATTGGCAAACGGAGGTGGGGGAGGGGGAAGGTGGCAGCTAGAGATGGTAGAGCTTGACAGGGGCACTAAAGATGGCAGTAAATCACATCCTCTAACAGTACAGACGTTGATGTCATTCATGGGGAGAAAAAGACGAAACAGGGAGACCAAATACTCAAAGGGAAAAAAAGAGATGCAACATCTAGTCTGCATGTTAATATGCTGGGTGGTTACGGGACTTCACAGAGAAAGTAATAAAGTACTCCACTTCCAAAAGGGAACAGAGGAATGGAGTAACCCACTCTCTTTTGGGGACCAAATGTCCTCATTCCCTTACCTAGGGACCTTATCTGGGGCTTTTAGAACAGTAACTTAAGTGTGGTGTTGTCCTGGGCTCTGGCTAGTTAGCCTTACAGCTTCTGAGCTAATGGGGATTTTGCTGTGCACCCCAAAACAATTCCATTGAGTCTGGTCTAGCCGGAAACAGCAAAGTTGCCACCAAACCCACTCTTGTGAAATAAGCCATGTCGGGGGAGTGGAAATAAAGAACGCTTTTTCTTGACACTGCAGTTGGTTCTAGCTTACTCATAATGATTATTATCCTTTTTTTTTTTTTTTAACATTTCTGAACAGTAACAGAAGACAGATAAGGAAAGAACAATGCCTGTTCCAAAGCTGAAGGTAGTTAACACTACAGTCTTGGGACTTTGGGTTATCTGGCTAATGCTCTGCCAGTGCCCAGGTCAGTGCTGACACTGCAGATGGTCTGTGCCTGGTCCTTCTAGCCAGCCCCTCACATCTGGGGCCCATTTGCTCAGCTGGATTTAATCCCAAGGGGAAATGGAAATGGCATTCATCCACTGGCTCTCTGGTGGCAGCTACTGCTTAGCTGCTATTTAGGATTATCTAGAGAACCCTGAGATATCCAGGGGAGTGGGATGAAACAGCTTATTTGAAGCACTGTTTTTACATATTCAAAGGAATCAATGTATCGTTTGCCTACTAAGTGTGTGTTTTTTTGTTTCTTTGCTTCCCTACCCTGTGAGGATTATTTCCCCTTCCTCCATACTCCCTGGATGTGGGTCCTGCTCAAAGCACTTCCCTTCTCATTTTGCCTTAAGCCAGGGCTCAGGCAAATAGGATGTGGCCAAACCTCACTCAGGCAGTAATGCTGCAAACTAATACACGCTTTAAGCCAAAAGGGTTGGAACTAAGTAGCATGGGAGTGGTTGACGAGAGACACGAGGGCTGCCTCTTCCCTAAGCATATGTATCTTTATTTCCATAGTTAACACTTAACAGGCCAGGAGTGGTGGCTTGCGCCTGTAATCCCAGCACTTTGGGAGGGAGGCAGGTGGATCACCTGAGGTCAGGAGTTCATGACCAGCCTGGCCAACATGGTGAAACCCCGTCTCTACTAAAAATACAAAATTAGCCAGTGTGGTGGTGCATGCCTGTAATCCCAGCTACTTGGGAGGCTGAGGTAGGAAAATAGAACCTCTTGAACCTGGGAGGTGGAGGCTGCAGTGAGCAGAGATCGCAGCATTGCACTCCATCCTGGGCAACAACAGTGAAACTCCATCTCAAAAACAAACAAACAAAAAACCACTTACCAGTTGCTGTAAAAACATCAATCTTCCCTAGTGAAGCCCGGTTTGCTGCTTTGCTGATAGTAGCTTTATAGAGACTGGAGAGTTAGGTTATTTATCCTTGACCAGATTCCAGGTTCTTTGGACTCTACTCTCAGGACAAGGTCAGTACAGATTAATCTTTACTTCAAGTAACAGACTGCTTCAAAGAAAATTCTAAGCTTGAGAAAGAGAAGAATGGCTGGGCGCAGTGGCTCACGCCTGTAATCCCAGCACTTTGGGAGGCCAAGGTCGGCAGATCACCTAAGGTCAGGAGTTCGAGGCCAGCCAGGCCAACACACAGTGAAACCCCATCTCTATAAAAAAAAAAAAAAAAAAAAAAAATTAGCCAGGCGTGGTGACATATGCCTGTAGTCCCAGCTAATTGGGAAGCTGAGGCAAGATAATAGCTTGAACCTGGGAAGCAAAGGTTGCAGTGAGCTGAGATTGTGCCACTGTACTCCAGCCTGGGCAACAGAGCAAGACTCCGTCTCTAAAAAACAAAACAAAGTTATTTCTCTTGTCACGTTCAGAGGACCCAGGACACATGGCCACGTGAGGTCCCACACCCTTCTAATAGCCCATCTGGAGCTAAGAAACAAGGCAGGGCTGGCCTATTTTCCTCTACACAGGTTCATACTCTTGTACATTCACCTTTGATACTGGGTGGGAAGGAACAGTCCCCATCTCCAAGTGGGGTTAGAAATCAGGGAACCAAGTACTGCAGATTAATTTTCCAAATGTAACAACCTATCCATGGCCCCTGCCTCCCCCGACACTTACTGATACAGTTAATAATTAAGAACACAATCAAAGGCTGAGGGATAAATTATTTCTTTATATTTTTCCATAAAACTTAAATGCTGATTCATCAGTGAGTCAGTGTATGAAAAAGGCCCTCTTAAATATCTTATAAACACGAATTATTCCTTCCAAGTCTGGATTTCCTTAAAATCCCATCACTCACAAGTAGGCTCATCTTCCACTTCTGCCATTTGAAGGCTGGTCTACTCCCAGCCTAAACCAGGGAAAATGTACAGAACTCACCAAAATTTTTCCAACACTCTCACAGTGTTTTATTTCAAACTCTGATCCCTGCCCTGTGATTACAAAGAAGATGCTGCTGGTTCTCTCTCTCAAAGTCCCTGCTGTGGGAAAAACTGGTATCCAATGTTCTCTGAAACATGCTGTCTTTCATCTAGACTCAGAAGCTAGACATACAATTTAAACAGGTATAACAGGGCCAGGTCCATGGCCCTGTTATACCTGCCACCTACTAGGGCCCAGCCATCAGCATGGTTGTTGAGGAGACTGCTGAAAAGACCTGAGCAGGATGGAAGAGAACAAAGGTAGTTCTTTCTATTGCACGATAGGGATGGAAGACTTCAAAGATTCCAGCAACCTCATTACCCAGGCTTTACTCCGGAAGTCATTTTGCCATCAGGCTAGCTGAGGCTTCTGGGCCTCTCCTTGTGCCTCTTCATATTCTTCTTCTGGTTTCAGCTGAGGGCCAGGGATCATCACCGTCTGAAAGAGCAGGATGCCAAGTTGCCCACCAAACAAGTCCATGGCTAACCCAGAAGAACTTCATCCCTCCTCCTACCCACCCACCTATCCACCAAGCCTTCCCTTTCCCGGTGGTACATCACCCCCTCTCACCACTAGGTGGAACCCAACAGAGTGGCTTAGGAGACCATGAGTACGGCCTCAGCTCTCTTAAAGGACTCAAGCCACCTTACCTTAATGATGGGCTGCTTAGGGGGTGCCCATGAGGGAACGATCTTGCCATGCATTCTCCAGCTTCCATAGGGGTTTACCAACTGCTTTTCAAATACAACATACTCCAGGACATCCTTGGGTACATCTTCCTGTCCATACATCAACCGGCCAAACCGGTCATAGATGGCCAGAGTCTACAAGGATGAAAGCAAAGCTGGCCTCTTAGGTTTTTCGGTGTGTGAGTTGTTCATTTTATTGCCACACACCTTTTATTTTGAGACAGAGTCCCACTCTGTTGCCCTGGCTGGAGTGCAGTGGCTCGATCTCAGCTCACTGCAACCTCCGCCTCCTGGGTTCAAGCGATTCTTTTGCTTCAGCCTCCCAAGGAGCTGGGAGCTGGGATTACAGGCACGTGCCACCACGCCCAGCTGATTTTTTTAAGTATTTTTAGTAGAGATGGGGTTTCACCATATTGGCCAGGCCTGTCTTGAACTCCTAACCTCAGGTGATCCACCTACCTTGGTCTCCCAAAGTGCTGTGATTACAGGTGTGAGCCACGAGGCCCAGCCTGCCACACAACCATTTTTGAAACAACCATAAGAAAAATCTTTTTCTTTTTCTTTTTTTTTTTTGAGACAGAGTCTTGCTCTGTTGCCCAGACTGGAGGGCAGTGGTGTGATATCATCTCACTGCAACCTCCATCTCCCAGGTTCACGATTCTCCTGCCTTAGCCTCCTCAGTAGCTGGTACTACAGGTACACGTCATCATGCCGGGCTAATTTTTGTATTTTTAGTATAGACAGGGTTTCGACATGTTGGCCAGGCTGGTCTTGAACTCCTGACCTTAAGTGATCTGCCCACCATTGTCTCCCAAAGTGCTGGGATTACAGGCGTAAGTTACTGTGCCCAACCAGAAAAAAAATCTTTTTTCTTTTTTTTTTTGAGACGGAGTTTCACTCATGTTACCCAGGCTGGAGTGCAATGGCGTGATCTCGGCTCACTGCAACCTCCGCCTCCTGGGTTCAAGCGATTCTTTTGCTTCAGCCTCCCAAGGAGCTGGTAGCTGGGATTACAGGCACGCGCCACCATGCCCAGCTAATTTTTTGTATTTTTGGTAGAGACGGGGTTTCACCATGTTGACCAGGATGGTCTCGATCTCTTGACCTTGTGATCCACCCGCCTCGGCCTCCCAAAGTGCTGGGATTACAGGCTTGAGCCACCGTGCCCGGCCTCAGAAAAAAAATCTTAATGGGCAGAAAAAAATTATCTCAGAATTCTGAATCTAGGCCTATCTAATCAACTACTTTACTCTTACAAGTTCTTTGACAGGGGGCAAAGAGAGGGGGGAATTAAGACCAAGAAGGAGCCGGGCACGATGGCTCATGCCTATAGTCCCAGCACTTTGGGAGGCCAAGGTGGGCGGATCACTTGAGCCCAGGAGTCTGAGACCAGCTTGGGCAACATGGCAAGACCCTATCTCTACAAAATTCAAAAATTAGCCAGGCAGGGTAGTGTGTCTCTGTAGTCCCAACTACCTGGGAGGCTGAAGTGGGAGGACTGCTTGAGCCCAGGAGGTTGAGGCTGCAGTGAGCCACAATCGCATCACTGCACTCCAGCCTGGGTGACAGAATGAGACCATGTCTAAAAAAAAAAAAAAAAAAATGTCATTCTCTCTGATGCCAAAAAATAGAAAAGGAAATAAAAAAAACACCAGGAAGGGCGGGAGAGAATATCTTCACACATGTCTTAGTAGAGCCAACATGTAACAGTGGGGAGGGGACAGTGGCATAGCAAGGAAGACAGACCACGGTGTACCTTTTGTTAGTGTCTACAGTCCTGGGCAATGATACCCAGCACTCTAGAGGGAGGTGCCCAAGCCGAGAGTGAGAAAAGCTGGGAAAAGACTCTACCTGGCGGGTGTGCATGCGCACAGTGACCTGGCCGTACATGTTGCTCTGGTTCACCATATCTGAACAGCGAACTTGAACAACATGGGAGGGCTCTAAAGATTCCACAAAGCTCCAGCGGACGGTCTTATATTTGATGTCCCAGGTCATGTCCTAAGGGCAAAGGAGAACAAGTTCAACTGGATTTTTCCATCCCTTTAGGGAAGCCGGTGCTGCCACACTGCTCTCACTTCCTGCAAGACTACAGCCAACAGGTAGCGCACCATGTGCTCTCTTGCGCCTATTTTCTCTCTCACCTCCCCAAGTTTTGTTTAACTATTGTTCAAGCTCACCTGACAAGTTTCTCTTCATCTAAATCACAACTTCAGACCCACTCTCCTCTTTGAGGCCCCTTCTCCAAATCAGTGAAAACCACATTCCAAACTGCCAGCATGCCCCATACACCATCATCCCTCCCATATACTTTCACAATCTAGCAATTATTGCGTGTACTGGTGTTGACCGCATATATATATGCACCCCCACTCAGCTATTAACAGTGAAAAGTGGGAATTTTATAGGGCCATGAGGGCTAAACTGTTAAGACTTGGGAAAATGGATAGAAATTCAAGTTCTACCGATAGAAACTCAAGTTCTTATTCTTGAATCTCTAATTAAACCGCAAAGTTCTTATCCTTGGGGGTCCCTCCAAGTACCTCATACTCCTGTTACCACTCAATATAAGCCTCATGAACTCTTGTTAAATCCTTCATGATAGTGCAGGCATATGGAGCTGTGGGCTACTGCGGCCCCTATCCTGTCCTCAGGACCTATGCTCCTGCAGTGTCATTACTGCTTGTTGAGGGACTTCTTTCATTTGCCAGAGCCCTTACCAGAGTCTGTGTCAAGACACTATCATTCAGCTACAAGCAATGGAACTTAAGCCTGTGCCTTAAACTTCCTGCACTCTCAAAACTGATCCTTCTCAAGAAAAACCAGGCTGGGCACGGTGGCTCATATCTGTAATCTCAGCACTTTGGGAGACCAATGCGGGTGGATCACCTGAGGTTGGGAGTTCGAGACCAGCCTGACCAACAAGCAGAAACCCTGTCTCTACTCAAAATACAAAATTAGCTGGGTGTGGTGGCACATGGCTTTGTAATGCCAGCTACTCGAGAGGCTGAGGTGGGGAAAATTGCTTGAACCTGGGAGGCAGAGGTGTCAGTGAGCCGAGATCACACCATTGCACTCCAGCCTGGGCAACAAGAGGGAAACTCCATGAAAACAAAAGAATAAAACAGAGTTTCACCATCTTGGCCAGACTGGTCTCCAACTCCTGACCTCAGGTGATCTGCTTGCCTCAGGCTCCCAAAGTGCTGGGATTATAGGCAGGAATCACCACACCCGGCCCAGCATTTATTTTCGTAACAAAAACCTCAATATCCCATATGAGAACAAGTGAAGGAATAAACAACACAATGGAAATTCTTTTTTTTTTTTTTTTTTGAGACAGAGTTTCACTCATGTTACCCAGGCTGGAGTGCAATGGCGCGATCTCGGCTCACTGCAACCTCCGCCTCCTGGGTTCAGGCAATTCTCCTGCCTCAGCCTCCTGAGTAGCTGGGATTACAGGCACGCACCACCATGCCCAGCTAATGTTTTGTATTTTTAGTAGAGACGGGGTTTCACCATGTTGACCAGGATGGTCTCGATCTCTTGACCTGGTGATCCACCCGCCTCGGCCTCCCAAAGTGCTGGGATTACAGGTTTGAGCCACCGCGCCCGGCCAACACAATGGAAATTCTAAAGCTACTTTAAACATGCATACAAGCCGGGCCAGGTGGCTCATGCCTGTACTCCCAGCACTTTGGGAGGTCGAGGCGGGCAGATCACAAGGTCAAGAGATCAAGACCAACCTGGCCAACATGGTGATATCCCGGCTCTACTAAAAATATAAAATTTAGCCGGGCGTGGTGACTCATGCCTGTAATCCCAGTTACTCGGGAGGCTGAGGCAGGAAAATCGCTTGAACCCTGCAGGCGGAGGTTTCGGTGAGATGAGATCGCACCATTGCACTCCAGCCTGGGAAACAAGAGCGATACTCCATCTCAAAAAAAGAAAGATATAACTATCAAGACAGTTGAAGATGAGCAAAAAAAGAAAAAAAAAGAAGATAAGACCAGAGATAATATCTAGAATCTGTCCATCAGGTACCCCACAGTTCTAAGGATGAGAACTTACTGGAAAACAGTGTTCGGTTACCAAGGTATGAAGTCGGTCATGGTCTGAGCTAGAAAACAAAGCAATAAACATCATTGATTACTATCCTTATAATACCCTGTATGAAAATTGAAAATGGCCCTGAAAATGGAAACAATTCATTTTTACAAATGTTTTCTGCACATCCACTGTAAGCCAAGTATATAATACGCTAAGTTCTGGGGACACAAAGATGAACAATAATGTGAGTTACCAGAAAACCCTGAGATCTAATAACAGAGTAAAATTAGGTTAGAAGTAAAAAATAAATTTAAAAAAAATTATGTTCAAAAAACAAAACAAAAACGAAAAAAATTATGTTTAAATCTAAGGACTAGGAGGAAATTTCTCTAAAATTACCATACATCCTTAAGATGGGTACCCTCACTGGGACATAGGACCTGGTTTTTGCTTTAAGCTGGTATGAGCAGCAAAGTTCAACACAAGTAACAATCAAAAGCTTGTCTTATCTCCTCTTGCCTCTGACCCAGCATCAATACCATCTGGCTCTGCCTTATATCTTACATTCTTGTCTTTGAACCTAGTTGAAGGTAATCATGTCTTTCCTGGTCCTATATTCTCTCCTTTATCTTGTTGCTGTGTGAGTGGCCAAGTCATGCTGACTCTATACAGCAATGGTTTAAAAAAACACAAAACAGACAACAAACCTTAGCTCCTATAGATACAATATTTTAGGATAGTTCCTAACTGATGAGTCTCAAACCTAAGGTCAAAGATTAGCTTCTTTCAGATACACACACGACTTTTCCTCAGTTTACTATGAGCAGTTTAACTCTGTCCCCTTTGAAAAATCTTGCTCTCTAAGCCAGAGTAGGTAAGGGATTAGTTCTAACACGTCTACCTGCTTCCCTTTCATCTCTATTCCTAATAGAAAAGATTCCAAGTCATTTCCTCTACTGTAGGAACAGACTAGACGACTGAGCTGTGGTGACAACTACCATGATGACCATCACTGGCACTTCTGAGTGAACTCCTCCTCCTCACTAACCTGGCATAGAAGTCTTCAGTGGAAATAAACTCCATTTTCCATAAGTTCACTTACTGTTTTGCAATATAATTTACTCTGAAAAATAAAAAGTAGACATCTGCTTCTCCAACATAATAGGCCGAGTTAATGTAAAGTTATCCCCACTATAAATATTTAGAAATGTTGGATAAAATGGGCGAGGTGCAGTGGCTCACACCTGTAATCTCAGCACTTTGGGAGGCCAAGGCGGGTGGATCGTGAGGTCAGGAGATCAAGACGATCCTGGCCAACATGGTGATTTATGGTGCCTGCATGGCAAAGGAATTTCTTTCTTTTTTTTTTTTTTTGAGACAGAGTTTCACTCTGTCGGCCAGGCTGGAGTGCAGTAGTGCAATCTCAGCTCACTGCAACCTCTGCCTCCCAGGTTCAAGCAATTCTCTGCTTCAGCCTCCCTGAGTAGCTGGGATTACGGGTGCCCACCACCACACCTGGCTAATTTTTGTATTTGTAGTAGAGTCAGGGTTTCACCATGTTAGTCAGGCTGGTCTTGAACTCCTGACCTCATGATCCACCTGCATCAGCTTCCCAAAGTGCTGGGATTACAGGCATGAGCCACTGCGCCCAGCGAAGAAAGAATCTTGAAAACAGCAACAGGCTGGGCACAGCGGCTCATGCCTGTAATCCCAGCACGTTGGGAGGCAGAGGCAAGAGGATCGCTTGAGGCCAGGAGTTTGAGATCAACCTGGGCAACAAAGCAAGACCCCTGTCTCTACAAAAAATTAAAAAAAAAAAAAAATAGCCAGGTGCAGTGGCATACACCTGTAGTCCCAGCTACTGAGGGCTGAGGTGGGAGGATCACTTGAGCCCAGCAGGTTGAGGCTAGGGTGGAGCTATGACTGCACCACTGTGCTCGCTCCAGCCTGGCTGAGAAAGCGACACCCTGACTTTTAGAAAAGAAAGAAGAAAGGAAAGAAAGAAACAAAGGCTCACCTGGTAAAGCATTAAAAAAAATTATAAAAATTAAATTAAAAAATTTTTTTAAAAAAAGAAACAGGCTAAAGGGAATCCTTCAGGCTAAAATGAAAAAACACCAGACAGTAACTCAAAGCCACAAGAAAAAACAAAAGACACTTGTCACAGTAAATATAAAATATAAAAGCCTGCAGTATTGTACTTTTGGTTTATAATTCCTCATTTTACATCCTATATGATTTAAAAGGCAAATGCATAAAACAATAATTATGAATTGATATAATGGCCACCCAAGGTATAAAACTGTAATCTATGATAATGAAGTGAGAGAGACATAATAAAGTGGGAGAGAGAGATATATAGGAGCAGAGTGTTTGTATATTATTGAAACTAAGTTGATATTATTCAAACTAGGTTGAACTAGCCACCGAGCCCAGCTGTGTTTCTTTCTCTATTTCTGCAAAAAACACTGCTGGGGCCGGAGGCAGTGGCTAAAGCCTATAATCCCAATAATTTAGGAGGTCAAGTCGGGTAGATCACCTGAGGTCAGCAGTTTGAGACCAGCCTGGTCAACATGGTGAAACCCTGTCTCTACTAAGAATACAAAAATTAGCCAGGCATGGTGGTGGGTGACTACAGCTACTCAGGAGGCTGAGGCAGGAGAACTGCCTGAACCCAGAAGGCAAAGGTTGCAGTGAGCTGAGATCGGGCCACTGCGCTCTATGCCTGGGGGACAGAGTGAGACTCCGTCTCAAAAAAAAAAAAAAAAAAAAAAGAGTCTGGGAGCCCTGGCTCATGCCTGCGTAATCCCAGCACTTTGAGAGGCCGAAGTAGGAGGATCACGAGGTCAGGAGATTGGGACCATCCTGGCTAACACTGTGGGCCCAGAAACCCCATCTCTAATAAAAAAAAATATATTAAAAATTAGCCAGGCATGGTGGCATGCATCTGTAGTCCCAGCTATTTGGGAGGCTGAGGCAGAAGAATCACTTGAACCCGGGAGGCAGAGGTTGCGTTAAGCGGAGATTGCGCCACTGCACTCCAGCCTGTGTGACAGCGAGACTCCATCTCAAAACAAAACAAAACAAAAATCTTAAAATTGACATGGAATTTCAAGGGACCTTGAACAGTCAAAACAATTTTGAAAATGAAGAATAAAGTTGGAGGATTCATACTTCCCAATTTCAAAACCTACTACAAAGCTACGGTAATAAAAATGTGGGCCGGGCGCAGTGGCTCAAGCCTATAATCCCAGCACTTTGGGAGGCCGAGGCGGGTGGATCACGAGGTCAAGAGATCGAGACCATCCTGGTCAACATGGTGAAACCCCGCCTCTACTAAAAATACAAAAAATTAGCTG